TCTAACCTACGACACTTTCTCCTCTTAGATAAAATCAGAGCCAGGCAGTCTAATTTGGCACTATCCGCGCGGTAAAATTACAGTTCATTGGCAATATAATTTCCTACGTAAGTTATGCAGAGAGAGATCATACTACGTGAATTTGTTCCTGCTAATTCTCCGGAAGTTGCAGCGTCTAATGCAGATATATATATACATATATATATATATATATATATAGTTTGTTGCATAGCTGTAAAATTTTAGTTTTATTAACGATCCGATATTATATAATCATAATTCATACGAGTAAAGATAAGAGATAATTTCCACCTGGCTTTGTTAAATTGCAAAGTCACGAAAGAGAACATTATTCTATTGTATTTTTATCCTGTACATATTGCTTGAAAGTATACTGCCACTTCCGGCGGATTAAACTCAAACATATCTTTTCGTTAATTTTCTGGGATCCTTCGAATCATCCAAGTTGTTAGATCCTCGTCATCACGTGTACATTTACGGATTCGGACATTAAGATTGCATTATTTCAAGATCGTGCATTTCTTGATTTAAGTAAATATGAATAAGAAAAACAGTAAAACAATATATACACATATAGCTAAGATCGAATAATGAGAGAGGCAATAAAAATTCTTGCTTTGCTCGGAGGCTCTCTCACTTCTAATATCCGTCACGCTAATTTCACGAATATCCCATGATTGACTAACCGATATTAGTATTTATTTTATCACGTAGAATAGGGTGAAGTGTTGCGATAGTATCAGTTCTTCGAGATTGATCAACTTGAAGACACTTAAAGACACTGTATCGCTGCTTTTCTTTCATCTGCACCCCACGAACGCGAAGATTCCCTTTGTTTGTAAGACAGAGCGTGCTTGGGATACACACTTAGGATTAACTTTATGTAATTTTTATTGTATTTGCAGTATATAGCATGCCACACAAAAACGTTTTGTATCGGATGTGTAAGTCGCGTGCAAATCTTCCTTTCTTTTTTCGTAATCGATTGCGGAAAATGTTTTTAGGATCAACAATGTTATTTATTTATAATTCTGTAGTTTAATTCTCTCATTTCTGAGATGCGTAACTTAATTGTGATTCACTCCTCATCAATCTTGTGTGATTCGCAAAAAACTATATGATTCTCTTGTTGAGCCTGCGAATATCTGAAATGGAACGAACGGCAAATCGACAATATAGTTTCAGTATTCCCGATTGATCGCGCACATTATTCTTATTTCTCTTGAGAAGATTAGCAAGAAAAGTATTGAAGGACTATGTGGGTATACGTAGCTTTAAACAATTACTGTGTTCACGTATCGTAGAGCAAAGTAAAATAATTGCGTCAACAAGGATAATCTTTAGTTTATATTATTTTGGAGAATCGTAATTTCAGATATTAAAGTTACCATGAAACGCTTCAAAAACATGTTCCTATTAATTGTGTATTTAACTATCGAATACGGTCCCATCCGCGTGTGACACTCGAATTTTATTATTTTAATGTACATATATGCATACAGCTCATAAAGCAATTAGTAACTCTTCAGTGGATAATGCACAGTTCAGAAAATAATTACTCTTCTACATAATAACATTTCTTAAGTTAAAGCATCGACGAGATACTATTAAACACCGACATTCTTATTATACGCGGGCAGTTGGCGTGGCTGTTTAGTAATTGTTAAAATTTAAGCAATTAGTCAATATAATATAGTATTAATTTTATGATTTTATTATTAGATCAATGTTTTTTAGAGTACATTGTATTTTATCTGTATTACATGTTGCTGGTATAATAGTTCTAATTTTATTTGAAACTACATTTTTATAATTACCATCCATGTTTGATTATCCAGAAAGATATATAGACATACATATGTATAGTAATTAGCAGTATGTAGAAAAAAAAAATTATAACTTTGCGGTAATATATATAATATAGCTTTATATAAGTATTCATACTTATTTATAAAGCATTTATATAATAAAAATAATGATTTTAATATATTATTCAAATATTTATATTAATAATCGTAAATTCAATTATGTCAAAAGTCGATAACATCGACACTGCAATTGCCCTCGGGACTCTTTGGCCGGCACGCAAAAATTTACTCAGAGTTGACGATCTTTAACAGTATGTATATCTCGTCGGTGGTTAAGGCGATATTAAACTGGCTCAACTGGCCCTCAATTGTGTATCTTGAAATAAGGTGAAAATGACAAAAATGAGCAAATTCATTAGAATATTTATAATTTCATTGACAATTTCATCGCCAAAAAAATCGCGCAGTCAGATATGAAGAGAATAATCTATCATAATTGATCCATTTCTTACGGCTTAAGGCTTACTACACAGTTATTGTGTTTCGGAATATAAGGGCTTATTCAAACTTGCATAGCTGCATAATTATATACATAAAGAAAATTATATCCAATTGCTTTTTACGTTCGTTCTTAGGGAGAATTCACACTTTGACAAAAGTACAGAAGAGCAGAAACGCCAGAAACCAATTAGAACTCGCTCTGGTAGACTCGACTGTTTTAGAGTCCTAGATTATCAGAGAAGCGCGACCGGTGTTACGAGTCCTGATTGGACTCGCAAATGGCCAATCATAAGATTGATTTATCGCTATTATAAATGGCTACCGAATAAATCAATCTTATGATTGGTCATTCGACGCCATTTTTAATATTTTCTAGTACTTTTGCGATACTGCCATAAGCCGGTCGCGCTTCTCTGATAATCTAGGACTCTAGACTGTTTTAGAGTCCTAGAGAAAACAGAGATGCGTCTTGGAAGGGTATGGTCTGATTGGCTGTCTAAATCACATGACAAAGCACCAATCAAATGATCAAAGCGACCATTTTAATTCACTATTGCACCTAATGCATCAAGATACAGCTTTGTAAAGTATGTACAATATAAATTATATAGAGAAAAATTAAGACAATACAAAGTGTTGAAATGCAATAAAAAGCTATTATTATGGTGAAGTATTTTCTTTTTGCATCAACTGTCATCAGCTTATAAGGCTAGGAGTACTTTACTGAATTAAAATGGCGGTGA